TCTCTGGGACAGTCTCTGGATAGATCTGTTTACCAATCACTGGAATGCCAAGCTCCAAACGTATGTGTCGCCTCTACCAGAGACAAGCGCTTTTGCCACGGATGCTCTATTGATCTCTGGGAGACCCATGACGCTTACGCCTTTCAACCCTTCCAACTAGTGCGCCAAGTGTTGGAGAAACTACAACTCCACCTGCACTGGTGGCGCCCAATTGGCCAGTGAAGGTCTGGTCCACAATGTTGCTGAACCTTCTAGTCGAGTCCCCAGGGGCGTTGCCGGATCTTCCGGATCTGTTGTTCCAGCCAGACGGAACTTTGCCGATGAGCCCCAGCTTATTCCATCTTCATGACGTGGATGCTGTAATTAAACCCATACAAGTGCAATGCTTTTCTGCAGAGTTGTCCAAGTTCCTTGCTTTGGCACAGTTGGAGGCACCAGACGTTTGTACAAGTCCATATGGAGGCTCTATATCGATTGGTGTTATGGAAGGGAGATTGATCATCTCAGTCCCTCTACTATTTGATCAGGGAAAATCTATATAAACAATTCTTGGATATCGGTCAGTTTTTTTTCCAGACTTATCAGAGTCTGCTGGACTGAAACTGGCCTTGAGTTCGGTTATGCAACAACTGTTTTAAACTTTTTGCTTGAAGAGGCTGCGCCAAAGGGCTAACGGATCCTCCAGATTGGACTTGTTGTTGGTCCTGGCGGCACTACAATACCCCCCTCAAGCCCATGCAAGAGGCGGACATGAAATACGTCACTATATGACAGTTTTTCTCTTGGCTCTGGAGTCAGGTAGGTGGCATTCAGTGATTAAAGCACTGTCTTTCAGGGACGAATGTGTTTCCTTTATAAACTCACAAGTTGTTTTGAAGACTCGGATAGGCTTTCTTGCCATGAATCAAATCCTAGGGCGTGATTCTGAATCGATCATCATCATCACACGCCTGACTAACATAGTAGGTATGGAGGACCACCAGGAAAATATTCTATGTTCTGTCCGAGCTCTGAGTTGACACTTTGATCTCACCAAAGCGCGATAGTGTCCTCGACCAAAGTCAGCCTCTATACTTTTTAATGCATTAAAATTGTTGGGCCCTAATTATTTATTCAGGCGGCCGGCCTTTAGTAAGCCTCCCTAAATTGGGGGGTCTACTCTCGAGGCACCCGGTTCCTGAAGAGTCACCTGATTGGTTGCATCCCAAGACAAGACTTCTTGTTGGTGAATAGTTTTAAATTTCTCTCAGTTTTTTGAATTTCTGCCTTTTTTGTGTTAAAAAATTTGCGTTACAGCCATCAGAGCTTCCCCTACTTCCATTGAGCGTGCTACTCTGCCTAACGAGTAATAAATGAAATTTATTATTTCCACGGATTTTCTGGTAAGTATGATTATGTAAACAAACTGCTTTGTACAACCCTACTAGTCATCCCCAAAGTTTGTTAATTTGCATGTGATAGCCACAGTTTCTAGTTTTTTCGCATGCAGATTGGTGCTTCACACTTATTAATATCAAGAATTATGAACACATAGATTGGCCATCTGCCAAGGTTGGGTTGGCCAGCTGGATGCAAACCGTGAATTGGAGGCCATTACTTATAACCTATATCGATATATCAAAACTTCATTTCACCCAGAAGTATATTTGTATTGTGTAGAAATTGATAAATTAAAAAGGGCTCTTGCTTGTATCAGGTGCTCTAGTCATTGACTAGCAATAAAACGGGGTAGATTTGTGGGACTGGAGGTAGAACAGAGAATAAGTAAAATATGTGAATCCCTTGAAATAGAGGATGAATTCCACTTCGTTTTAAAATGCCCTATCTATGAAAACATTAGAAAAATATTATTACTCTCATATACTTGTCTAGCATTAGAAACATTTATTCCATTATGTCAAATAAATGTGACCAAATAATCACAAAACTAGCAATGTTTGTACATAAAACACAAATTCTGAGACAAGAATGTATTAACATGAGGTGACTTTTGACCTCAGGAAAGAATGAGTTATGTATTTATTTGTCCATGTATATTTTGAAATGGGTCTGTGGCCTTTAAGAACAAATAAAGATTCTTGAGTCTTCACTTTACAAAAGATTAGGTTGGGATGGCTATACAGTAAACCCACAACTTATTTGAAGTTCATTGATAAAACGCAACCTTATATCAATATTCTTAAATAAAACAACAGAAAATGATACAACACTGTAATAACTATATTATTTATAAATCTACAAAATAAACGTGTCTAGAAAAATGTGAACTCGAGTTCTGGTATCGAACAAAACCAGCTGGCATTAAAAAGTCATTGACTAGTTTGTTGTCATAAAAACTCCAATTTCATCAAGTTTCACACAATCATTTAAATTGTAAATTAACAGAATTGTCTTCATGGTAACATGTCTGTATGGTAAACATGTATAGTTATACTGGCCGAGTGAATGACAGTGCGAGTAGCTAATCAGCGACTACGTTGCAAATTACTATGCAGATTATTGTTTTTTTGTATCTAACAGTACTGTAAGTACCAGTAAACGCCTAAGTTACGTTTTCAAGTGCTGACCATAATTAAAATAATCGTTACTATCTCCCTAATTACTATAAAAATCGCTTTTGTAACCAGTTTCGAACATCATCAGTTGGCAACATTTCAGGGTCATTTGATAATATTTCAGAAACAGTAGGTCCGATGTACGTGAATACACCATTTTCAATGATGACGACTCTGTCTGGTTGTGCATAATACTGTTTGTTGAACTCGTTATTCATGCTGTCCAGTACAATTGGAATCTTCCCTGTGTTTTCGCGGTCTGTTGTGAATGTTTTGTACTCTGTGTCAACTTCTATCAATTTTCTGCAAAAATAATTATTATTATGAATCTTTATATATTCGTGAGTATATGTAAATTGGCAATCACAGTGTATGAGTGGGTGATATATATAATGGACTGAAATAAAAACGTAAACAGTACAGTGTAGACATTTCTAATGTATATGTTTACTGAAGTCATTACTGACAGTTAAAAGACTGCTACAAAGACGCTAAAAGTAGTTAATGGAGTCACTGCAAAGCTACTTATAAAGCTGTAGCTGATTGGCTAACAGTCAGACCAATCAGAGAACAGATTGTTTGTTGGCACATTTTTTTCGATGTATCAAATTATGTCTTGTATATATGCTTCGACTCAACTGGGTATAGTAATATGGATCAACGGTTTTCCCCGTGTCGAGTGGTAGATTGAGAAAACTTAAGTAAAACCATTATGCATAAATATTAATATATGCCGGAGTAGAATAAGACCCACCTTGCTGCCTCTGCACGTTCTTCAATGCATACAGCGTTATTGAATGAACTATAATATGAACCCATCCTCCATCCATCTGCAGGATGTGCTTCAGTAATATAGATGAAAAGAAAGTCTACTTTATTCTTGTAGTCACCGAATAAACGATGTAGTGAGCCACTGTGAACTATGGCCTGCAATGATATGTACACAATCAGTATGGATTGCATGTATAACATGTATAAATAAATGTATATGAATTTCAATTTATGTTATTTCTAACCGGTCATAAAATAATCATAAAATAAATAATAGGATTAACTCACTCTAAGCATTTCTCAGGAAAATGACGATGCTACCATTAAAAGAGGTCTGTTTTTGTGGATGTGTAAAGAGAAGAGTGGAATGGTTGTCATGGTATCCATGGTTACCACCATAACATCTGGGGCAATGTCACCAACCATGTTGCTTCCTTCAATTGACTTAGAGCCATGAGGCATTACTTTATCCAAATAGGACATCACCTAATTAATGAAACTTATACCAATGACCATGTTCGCGTATTTATAATAGTAACATTGGCGCGTGATGAAAAAGCAATTCCTAGCTTAGCTGGGTATTTTGATGTGTAATATACAGCTTTTTAAAGTCCAAATTATTGCATATTGATATAATATATTTTGTGTCACGTATAAAACATATGATATTTTCGAACATTCTTGGCGGTATGCTTTTAAGTTTAAATGACGCACGTTTTCCAAATAAGGAAAACATAATGCTTCCGCAACACTTTCAAACACATCAGAGCGGCGTTTTATGGACAGATGAATCTTATTGTTTTCAATGTCAGATTTATAATACTATATTTGACAAGAGATCACATATTAAGTACCCAATTTGGGTAAACTGAACATAACATGAACACAACAATAAAACATGGAAGAATATAAAATAAATATATTAAGTTTAGAATTTAAAATGTTTATATTGTATTATTCCTACATTAGATTATCGTATAGAATGCAACATGGAGTACATAATCATTTCCATGGAAATGTGCTTCGGTATCAATCTTTCAATTGGTAATGCGTGTTCTGAAATTTACGATATTTGTTCAGTTTTTACTTAAAAGTCATTCTGTCATATCAGATATTATTACTTGCTTGTTTGACAAGCTGTAGTGTGATTAATACAATGAACACTGATCTGACATGTGACTTAGCTTATTGACTTTTACGTAGCTAGTGTTTAATAACAATGTGTTTTGCATTATGCAGTAAATAAACTCGACTGCCACCATCATATTGGAACAGTGCACATACGCATTAAGCCCTTCTCACGGAAATGACTAATGATTTGTCGATCTAGACTATACTCACTTCTGCATCATTGCCATACCACCGTCTAACTTCTCCCAGAAAATGTTTATCTCCTGTTTCACTCACAACAAAGCCATTTTCCGCAAAAGCTTGTTTTACATTTTCGTGAAGATATTCAGTGATTCTCTTTATAAGAGTCATGGCGTCATCGAATGGGTTAATCAATATATCCGCTCTCTTCTGTGCTTTTTCGTCGTTGAATACTGTCAACAAGTTATCCAATACCTTTATCACAGTTTCTCTATCTGCCATGATTTGTGCAGCGCAGCTTTGGTCTGTTTGTTCCTGCATTATAACAGAATACTCTTATTAACATAACTTGTTATGTGTGATCTGTAATGTGATTTGTAAAAAAAAAATCGTGTGAGAGTGTAAACTTACTTTATATGGCACTGATTTATAAGATTTGAAAATAGTAAATAATTCGATTCGTGTAGACGGATTTCCATATCTTATATTGCAGGTCCCATGCAACAAACATACATCACATGCAATATATACATCAATATAATACAGCCTATGTGACCAACATTGATATGCAAATTTTATATCACTTTGGTAGGAATGTTTTGTCTGTGAACAATACTGTGTGTTAAAATATGTATCCATGTTGACAAGTACTATAGGAATCGTCTCTTAAACACAAGCCCCTAATCCTTTTTTCAAAAATTTGTTTAATTCCCCCAACGTGAGTTAACAGTGGCTTAAATTAACACCAAAATATTGACATGGCCTTGAATATGTGATTTCTATATTAAATTACAAACCAAATTATGCAATTCCGTGTTAATTACTCTTCAACTGCTCCCACGCTTTGTATAATTGGAAGGTGATCCAACTTAACACTCTTTGTAAATTTACTTTTCAACTTATCCAACCACGTGTATGAGTAATTTGGATGGCGATCTATACACACAATGCAAACTCTATAATTGAATTGCTTTCCTACCTACAAATCATATCATTTATAAGACAAGTAATTGTCATGACTATCTTATACCGCAAAGAATACATGGACTATCTACTGACAAACATTGCACTTTACTAAGATTATAGCGGTCATTGCAGCAGCGAGGAAGTTTAATAGAACAAAACTAAGCGATGTATGTGCAGTTAATGGAACAAACCTGAGAACATGTCTGTGGTTCGCCACATTCAATCACTATACACTGTAACAGTACTGCTAACCAAAACTGTACACTCCATGGCCCATACTTGAATTTATCTGCAATATAAATCATTCGATAACAATATACATCAATCTGTTACTTTTATAAGTCAGCGTATACTAGTGACATGAGATATACGTGAAATTTGTATAATTATTTACGATATATCACTACTTATTGCAGAAATAGACTTTA